CTCGCTCTCTCCCCTCCGTAAACCGCGGGCGGCTCTGCCGAAGGAGACGCTCCGGAACAACCCAAACCCAGCTGGGAACCACCTGCCCTGGTCCCAACGAACGGTGCCCAGTCCTGCCCCACCGCCACACTCCGGCCGTGCTGAGAGCCCCCGGTTTGCCCAAACCCGACCACCCTCCCGGGGGAGGGCTCCGGGCAGGGCTCCGGGGCCCGCGGCGGCCCCTCTCCAGGGAGGACGGGCGGTTCAGCAGGCGCACGGCCGGTGGTCACCGCCCGGGTGGGGCCGGGGCTGGAACGGAGGTCACTTCGAGCCCCCCGGGCCCCGCTCTCCGCCAGCGCCTCACCGGGGCTCCCGCGGGCGCAGCACCCGCCGCCTTCGAGGCCACGGAGCCGCCCGGGCGGGTGGCACAGCCCGGCACGGAACGGCCCCGGCACGGCAGCGACCGCGGCTCTCACCCGCCGCCCCCGGGCTGCCCGCACCGAGACCCCGCGGCCGGGCCCGCCCCGAGCGGGTCCTGGCGACCCCGAGCAGCGGCCGCTGCCCCCCACCCCAGCGGGGACCCGGCCCCACCGCAGACCCCCGGGCCGCCCGCACTCACCGGCCCCGCCGCCGCCGCCCCCCGAGCGCAGCATCCCCCGCCCGGGAACCAGCGGGACCGGGGCCCCTTCGCGGCCGCGCCCACCCCCGGCGCTCACCTGCGGCAGCCAGGAGCCGGGGCAGCGGGAGCCGGAGCACCGGGAGCCGGGGCAGCGGGAGCCGGGGCCGCTCCATGGCGCGGCGCGGGCGGCTCTGCCAGGCGGCGGCAGGAAACCCCCGCCCGCTCCCGCTGCGGCGGGGCGGAGGCGCCGGGAACCGCAGCCCCCGGCCCGGGCCCGCCCCACGGCACCGGCACCGGAGCTCCCTCCGCCCCGGGGCGGGCGGGCCGGTGCTCTGCACCGCGACCCACCCCGGGGGGCTCGGCCCGGCCCCCGCCGGCCGCCCCAGGTGCGGGGCTGCGGCTGCGGGTTCGGCCCCATCGCCCTCCGCGGGCTCAGCGCTGGGCCGGTGCCCGAGGGGCTCGGGGGGCTCCCGCCCGCCTCCCACAGGTTCATCCCCTGGACGCGCGTTCGGGGCTGCCCGGGCCCGGCTCTGCCCCTGCTCTGTCCCCGGCTGTCCCCGGGAACCTGGGGACATGCCCAGGGCAAAGGCTCCCCAAGGGCACCGCTGGCTGCTCTGACTGCGGGCTCCTCACATCCCTCAGGGTCACACGGAGAGAACCCCGTGACCACCCCAGCACCAGCACAGCCTCTGAGCTGGCACCTCAAGGCCATGCCACAGGGAAAACATCACAGACACAGTGGCCAAAACCACTGCCTTGCCCCCAGTTCCACCATGCAACTGCTCAGAAAACGTGTCAGAGCACAGCTGGGGTGTGGAGCTGTGAAGGAGTTTCCCAGGACAGGCCTTGCTCACAGTGGGATTGACATTGGGGCCCCGAAGGCAGAGGGTCACTTGTCTACTGAGGGTCTCATAGTAAAGTGCAGCCACTGAGAACACCCCGAGAACCCCCCAGGAACACCCCACCACACACAGGCACCGTGTGCAGCCACAGCCTCTGCTCCATTTTCCATCCTCACCTCCCCATCACCAGAGGTTCTGTTACCCAGTGACACTTCCTTGGCTCCTGGCCTGGCAGTGCTGCTGTGACATGTGAAAGTGTTTTTTGCTCAGAGGAAACACCGTGCAGTGTGCAGAAATAACCCATCTGCCTCAGGAGGGTCAAAGCAAGGCTCCCACACTAGGATGAGCCAGGCATACAGAAACACCAATATGAATTTGCTGTTCAGCAGCAGGAAAGTCATTCCCCCCTTTATTTTCCATCTGGAAAACAGAAGCCTATCACACAGAACTTGTTTTTACCAGCACTGATGAAATAAACAGTTATCGGCAAGCAGGACAGAGCCAAATCCTGGGGCAGGGAAGAACAATTCCAGAGCTGCCAGTCCCTGACCCCCAGTGAGTCCTTCACACCCAAACACCGACACAGGGACCCACCCACTGCGTGGAAAAGAACAGCCACCAACACAACAATGGTCTTAACTCTTTATTCCTGTTTTTTTCTTGTTTTTAAAGGACAACACATTCAGACAGCTTTAAATACAACATCCACGTGCAGCTTCCAGCTGAAAGCCGCAACGGGACAGCGAGTGCGCTCCATCCATCCGCGCCGGCACCAGCCCAGGCCTGGTGTGGGACAGCTCCTGGGAGAACAACAAACATCCAGGTTTAACATTTCACCAACCATTTGAAGGCACAGAAGTGGGTGGGGCAGGGGCAGGACATGCTGAGCACCAAACACAGGCACAGAAGGAGCCCCCAGCTCTCTGCAAAGGCCACGGCTCAAACCCTGGCCCAAAGCAGTGAAGGGACACAGGCCCCCTGCCCTGGGGAGCGTGGGGGGAGGCCCAGAGCCACACAGGAACAGGCAGGAATGTGGATCAGCACTGCAGGCTGGCCCCAGGCCACCTCATTTCCCCTGCAGCCCTCAGGCTGTCGCTCCTATAACCCTTTCCTGCCCATTTCCTTCCCGGCTGTGGCTGTGGGGGAAGACACAGCGGTGGCAGTGGCCGAGGGGGCTGAGGTGCCCCCACACACCCTCTGCAGGGCCAAGGGGCACAAGGAGATGGGCTGCCATGGCCAAAGCCTATTCACCATCTACTACAGCCCTGGGGTGAGCCGAGCACTTGACATGTCAGGTGGTACAAGAGGAGAGGCCTCTGAGCCCCACACAGTCCCTCCAGCTGCAGGTGCCTCAGGAAAACACCCCCCTCACCTTCAGGAAAATACAGCCCCCTTGTTCTCCCCGCTGGCACCCCCAGCTGCTGCCAGCTCCCTCCCAAAGTGCCAGGCTCCCCACGGCCTCCACGGTGTCACAGTCACCCTGCCCTGCCCCTGTGTGCACCCAGGCACGCCCAGGGTATGTCTGCACTCACTCAGCTCTGAGGAACTGCTTCATTCATAAACATCCTTCTTATCTGCAATATAATCTACAATCTCCTGCGGGCACATCAGCTTCTCTGCATCTCCGTCAGGAATTTCAAATCCTGCAAGAAAGGGCACACACTTAGCCAAAACAATGGAAAAGGGGGCAAGGCCAAGGGAAGGGATGGCTGCTGGCCTGGGGGCTGGGTAGGGGACAGGCAGGTAGGGGACATGTGGGCAGGGGCTGACACTGCATCACTGCCTGAAGTGACATCACCTCCCCACACAGGACAGGGCAGGCACAGCAGAAGCCAGTGCCTCTCATGCCTCAGTAAAGCTACCAAGGCCTTCC